AAAAAAAGAAAAGAAAATTGTTTATATATTTTCTGTGAATTTCTTTCGTATCACTTTAGTGTTGAAAATGACCTATTGAAAGAGGTCAAAAACTTTACTGTATACATATTTTGATTTTAAATAAATACGATTGATGAATTAGTTCATCTTCTAGCTAGTTTATTCACTTATATTTCATCAAACAACATTAATATTTTATTGAAAGATGGCGGTTTACCTTGCATTGAATCATATAGAGCTTTTAATGTTGTTGGCGAATTATGAGGTTGTGGAAGAATACTACTAATTAATCTGAGAATACGAGAAGAATGGATGTTACTAATATTAGCATCTCTGAAAATTTCAATCAATTGTTTACGAAAATCATGTGTTTTGATGGTGGTATGTGAATGAAGAAAATGATTATTTTGATTGTTATTCGTTGAAAACAAATCATCTAACAAGAGCGGCTCATCTTGATCATCAATCAGCATTTCACAATCGGGATTAAGTTCAGATTGGAATTCAACTGTATCCTCGTGAGATGAAAGTAGATTGAAATCATCATCGATATCTGATATTTTGTCAGGATCTGTTAACATTTGATGCATCATTTCGATGTGAATGTTTGACTCTTTCTCCACTTGATTAACGCATGTCGTTACAGGTTCATCAGTCACTGCTGTTGAACATATTTCAATTGTCTTTCGACGACGACGACGAATATTGTCTTGTTCTTGCTTGTGTCGTAACCGTTGTTGAGCTTATTCCATAGCGATACAAAGGTGTTGATACATATTTTAGAGAAATATTTTTATTAATAACAATGAACGAAAGATAATCTAAATAACAAGATTTTTTTTTTTACAAAACTTGGGAAACAAAATATAATAGTTAATAAAAACGATGTGATAACTATGTTCTTGTATTTCTATATGGAAGAAACCTTATTAAAATGATGATGTATAGATATAAATAAAAAGATACAAATACAGGCCAGAACTTAAGAAAAATGATACAAATTTGAACTTCATTATCTTGTTTTCAAACTTTTTACTGCTATCAACGCTAAAAACATTCGAACTTCCGTTTCTTTCTGAATTGAACACCTGCCACACTTGTGCATTTTGTATTTTTCCTCTTACATTTCTGTTCACGTAAATGATTTTCATTTTCTTTCTCTTTCTTTACCGAACGCCTATTCGTTATACCAAGTCGAGCGTGATATTCACATTGGACGTTACGCGTCGTATAATATCAAGTGTTCTCTAAATATAGAGGCAAAACTTTTTTATGAAATTATTCGATACAATTATTTTGTTGGCATAATTTTTATATATAATATTCCTCTAACTAGTTATATAAAATTTTTAAGATAAGCAATACATAAGTTATTATACAAAATCGATTGTAAAGAAAAAAGTCGAGATGAATATCTTTATTAATATATCTACTACAAATTAAATCTTAAATGAGATAGGTTGAAAAAGTCATCTTTTTAGTCAAACATCTCTACATTATTTTTGATTGATATAATGATGATTTTACTTCTTGTGATCTATGGAACATGCAAGGCAGCATTTTTCAGCAAAGAATCCAGAACAAAAAATAAGAGATTGTCCACACTTTCCCGTCACAATAAATATAACAAGAGTCTAGCCAGCTCATTGTTAATAATTAGAAAGTATACTGCATAAAGACTATGCAAAATAGAAAATATAAACCAAATCAATAATTTGTAACAAAAAGTGACACATATATAGCACTATCAAGCTATATTACTATATACGAGAAAAATACACGACCAAAATACGATCGTATAGGAGTGTCGTTTACGATGGTCGTATTCAGTGGTCGTTTACGGCAATTGTATATAATCGTATAACATCGTATACGATGGTCGTATACAACAATCGTATACGACCATCGTTATTCGTCGTATTTTTTTTGTATACGGTCGTGTACGATCGTGGATTTTAAACCTGGGAAAATTATTTTTTTGCTTGAAAGAGCATCTCAAGGCGCAGGGCATGACCGTGCCCTTTTTTTGAATTAAGCCTTTGTTTGGTTAATATACAGCCATTTATATGATTTTGCTACCATTTTTTGATACTTTTTTGAGACATTGAACTTGTGATCCATTTTTTGCGCTTAAAAAAGGACTGTTTAAAAAAAGCGGCCTTGTCATGCCCTGCGCCTTGAGATGCTCTTTCCAACAACAAAAAAATATTAATATCTTGACCGAATCAGGACCGAAAAATTTGGGATGTCAAATGAGTCATTTTTGACCCTTTTTTGGTTCATATCTCCCTGAAATCTGAAGATTGTGGACTAAAAATTTTATGGTAGTCTTCTGTTTCCAACCCCAACATATCCTGAAAGTTTCATCTAATTCGGACGTTCCTGGACTGAAATAGATTTTTGAGGGGCGGGGGGGGGGGGGGGG